ACGAGATAGAATGGGTTTAAACATTATGTATAAAACTTACTAGTAAGTGTCCCAAGATATATATATAGTATGAGTGTTTCGGATTATTAATTTTAAAATATTTTTTTGGCTTTTTAAATTTTATTAGGAGATAAAAAAAAAATTTGATGTTATTGGAAATGACTCTTTTAAGTTTTATGAGAAAACGTAGATGACTGATATCCTATTTAAATTTTTTTGTTTTAAGTGTTTTGCATTCATGAGATGAGAGTTGTTTAATTTTCTTAAATTAGTACAAAAAATCTCTAACTTTTTTTTCATGCATGATGAACACTTTTAACTTTTTTACTTAAAAAGTTAACATCGCAAAGAAGGAATATTCATACAAAAGCAATTACATAATAACTTATGTCAAACAAATTGCTTCAATTTTTATTTTTTTTTAAATAAAAAAACAAGATCTCTTAATTATTTTCGTTGTAAATTTCGTAACACATAATTATTAACCAATTTTATTATGTAGAGTCAATTCTTAAACAACAATGATTCATCCCCCCTTTTCCTCCCACCCCCTTTGACCCCCTCTCTCTCTCATTGGTTACATTATCACCACCCGCCACGTGGCAAGGGGGGGTGAGGGGGTGACCCTCAAAAGGAGGTCCCAAGCATTATTCATTCTTAAATTGGTGTATATTGAAGTCGAATCACGCTGAGAATCGTACGGAGCAATTATTGTCAAAAGAGTATTGCTATAAATATTTCATAAATTATTTTGGACCCTTTGTTCTTAGTTTTTTTTATTACAATAATAACCTCAAATAAAATTATTAAAAAAGGTATCATTAATTTTGAGACACCCCATCTCACAATTAAACTCACACACCACTACATCATAAAGTAGGGTTTATGAGAGCACTCATCTTCATCACCACACATCCATCTTTTCCCAAATCTCATCTTCAAAACTTATCCACTCTCAAAACCTTGAAAACCCTTTCGTGGCAATTTTCCAGCGATAACAATAGCAACCATTTGATTATCTACACTTCTCTAGCAATGATAATGAATAAAAGTTTTTTCGACAATCACAATCTCATGAGACGAGAAAAGTACAACAATAAAAATTCAAAGAAAATTCATAGCTTTAATAGTATTCTTAACTCAGATAAAATTGACCATGTAAAGGTAAGTTTCTTAAAAAAAAATAGAAAAAATAATAAAATTTATTCGTCATTTTTTCGGGACTGAACTCCCAAATATATGACTAAGATTCGAAAACATGAGCTCGAACATTGTTTATTTATTTAGAAATCGGTAACCAAACATTTATTATTTGTTCAGAAACCAGTAACCGAACATTGATCATTGAAGAAAAAGATGAGGCGGTAGAGAGAGAGAGAGAGAGTGCAAAGGCAGTAATCACACTTGGCTCTTCTTTTTCTTCATGGGTTTTGTTAGGATTTTTGAAAGAAAGATTTTTTTTGGGTGTGGAGGGTGTGCATTCAATTGAATAGGTGAAATGTTTTCACAAAGATAATTTTGATATTATTTGGGGTGAGAAAATAAATTTTAAGGGTTTCAAAATTTATAAATAGGGGTCCAAAAAAATAGAGGATCCAAAATAATAGATGAGGTGTTAATAGCACCACTCTTTTCAAATCTAACTCGTATGGAGCAATTACCAACTTTATCTAACTATTTTAATTAGTAATTATCAAATCTAACTGATTCCCAGAAGGGTTTAGCTTCTCTCATGTTAGGGATCTAACTTGGAAGAGCATTTGGGCTTAGTAAACCTATAATGAGCCAAATCTTGGTCATTCAAACCGTTCACTTTTTAAAATTTATTGCGAAGAATATTCATATAAAAAATCAAAATGATTAGATTTTGATAGTTATATATTTAAATCACATTTGGCTTAAAAAAATAGAAGGCAAATATAACTTTTTTAAAAATCGTCTTTTTTTAAAAACAAACATGACTCAAATATATAATTATCGTAATCCAACTATCTTAATTTTTTATACAAATATTATTTTCAACAAGTTCTTAAAAAGTGAACGGCTCGGATCATTTAAATTTGGCTCACAATAGGCTTACTAATCCCAAATACTCTCTCAAGTTAGATCCCCAACATGCATATGAGTCACTTGGGTACCCTTCCCTTGCAAACCGGTTTTCAAGGATGAGTCCTGCAGGGTTCGTATCATTTGGTATAAGAACTAGTCACCACGTTGAGTATGGGGCCAAACGCACCTATGCAAGTATGGGCTCGTATGGGTACGGCTTTGCAATTTGAACCGCAGAGGGGCAACCTATAAGTTGGATTAAAAAACCTAAAATAATGTCAAATAAGTGAAGCTGCTAAAAGAAAAAAAGACTACCACCGGATCATTATCATAGAGCTGGCCATCGCAAAAACATCTGTTGAAGAACGTAATGGTGTATTACGATCCCAACATAGATTTTAACTATGCATATAAGCCTATGCTAAAAAATTTAATATGTTATGCGCCAAGATTTTTGATATTATATATATATATATATATATCTATATCTATCTATCCATATTATTATAAAGTGAACGTCTCTTATGGTGTCCTGAAACTTTGACTTTGTTTCTTATGTTGCCACGTGTCCAATTTTTTTATTTAAAATTAAAAAAAAATTAAATAAATAAATGGAGGGAACTTGAACTTTAGACTTATATCAAATGAATAAGACTCTTATCACTTGACTAACACACAATATGTAACAAATTTTTTATTTTATTTTTATTTATTTGAATAGCACACGCATTGCGTGTGCCACCCACTAATACTATTATAAAGTGAACACCTCTTATGGTGTCTTGAAACCTTTATTTCTTATGCTGCCACGTGTGTACTTTTTTATTTGAAATAAAAAAAAATTAGATAGATGAAAGGATTTGAACCTTAGACTTATATGTCAAATAAATAAGACTTTTACATATCAAATGAATAAGACTCTTATCACTTGACTAACACACAATATATAACAAATTTTTTATTTTATTTTTATTTATTTAAATAGCACACGTATGAGAGGAGGAGATTTGAACGTTAGACTTATATGTCAAATGAATAAGACTCTTACCACTTAACTAACACACAATATATGATAAATATTTTATTTTATTTATATTTATTTGAATTACACACGCATCGCGTATGACAACCGCTAGTATATATATATATATATATATGTATGTTATATGAAGGTGATATGTATCCCATGTCATGTCACAACATCAACAGAGAGAGGCCCAGAAGGGCCAGCTACGACAACAGCCTTTGTAGAAAGGCAGACACAGAAAGACCGAAAAAAACACAAAGGAAATTAGGGTCCACTGAGACCCAACCTGTTCTTTTTCTTTTTCATCCCCACCATCAACGCTGGAAGATCCCTGTCAGATTTTCAATTTTGGAAAACAATTCTACTGTACTAAATTCAATAACAAGTCACAATTCTTTCACATAAAGTTTTTTTTCACATAAAGTTAGACAACCCACATATTTATTGGGCCTTGCGACTAATTTTATAATCGAAGTTTGTGTTCCCTAAATTTTTCTTTGAAAAAAAAATTACTTTACTACTAATTAAATGGTCATTAGTCATGACATGAATATATAAAAATGTATTGAAATGTATAAAATATATTAAAAACATATGCGTTGCGTTTGATAGAATTTTATAATTATGATTTAAGAATATGAGTTGTATTTTGAGTTTGTAAGGTTTAAAATTATAATTTGAGTGTAGAAAATTTGTTTAGTAAAGAGTTTTGAAAATAATTTTGAAAAGAGTTTTGATTTGAGTAGGGTATTGTTGATGTGACATTTGATATTTAATACAAAAATTTACAACTTATAACTAAACATACAACTCAAAATTATTTTAAAACACATAAAAAAATTTAAAAATTTCAGAAAATATTTTTTTCGATTATATAAAAATTAACATATCAATTGCAAAAAAAAAAAAAAAAAAAAAAAATCACTATTCTGGTTGACCGGCCAGTTAGGCAAAATTTTCAAAAAAAAATTTTTTGAACAGCGCGACTGAGACAGAGCTCTCTCCAGAGTTTTGGAAACGTGATTCCAAAACTCCTACCAAACACTATACTTGAATCAAGGTGCAGAATCATGATTTGAAAAAACAACTATTTTGGTTTTTTTTTTTTTTTTTTACCCTAAACAACAAATGATTTTTAAGCACTTGTATGCAAATTCTATGCATTCTACGGGTGGGTTCGCTTTTAACCAAAACAATAAGGGTTGGTTTGGCAAGATATGATTTTTAAGCACTTGTCTAGGGTTCTGTCAAAATACAACCTTCCCCCCTTTAATCAACAAAATCAGTCGAAACCAACCATCTTTTTAAAAAACTTAAATAGCCACACCAAAACAAAGAAAAAAAGAAAAGGCCAAGCCGCCTTCACACTGCATACCTCATTGCAAAAAATGCAATGAGGTTAAACACAGTTAAATTTAATTGTGCAGTTTCAACATCAAAGTGGGATGTTAAAAACTAACAAGATCAATTAAAAACTCAGTTAAATCTATCTCTGTAAGTTCAAAGTGATAAATAGAAAATTAAATAGGTGTGTTTAAATTGAGTTAATTAACCAGTATAAAAAATAAAATCAAAAAATGCAGCAAGCACTTTGCATAAAAATATATATCAGGTAGTTTGCATAAAAATCAGATTGCTGCTTCTTATTCACACACACACACACACACACACACACACACATTACATATTTCAAAAGTTTAAGGAACAATCATATACCATTAGGTACTACGACAGTGAAATTTCACTGTCGGGGAGGACAAACACAGTTAAAAAAATTATATATTAAAAATAAAAATTCATACTAACATACGCCTTCTCTATAAAAAATTAGGAAACATGATTTTAAAACTATAACGACAAATTAAATGAAATTGAAAGAAGAAAGAGCAATAGTTTATGCAGCATTGGAATCTATGATGAACAATGGAATTAATGAAATTTCCTTCGAAAATAGCTTCAAGAACATAATTAATCAAATACACTAGAGTAAATCAAGAAATACACTTCCATGGGAGCAGGAAACAAACCCCATCGGATTTCTACAAAAATGGAAAGTTTTAAGAAAATATCATTTTACCAAGGGTTAATAGATGCTAGCAGATGCTCTTTGGTATCAAACTCCCTCTTCCGTTGTGACTATGTTACAGTGTCCATGGCACCAATTTAGTGCTCAAAAATCTTCCTTTCTTTGTTGGAAACTAATCAATTGAAACTAAAAAATCACACATACAAAAGAATGCTCTAATTTTAGAATAAAACCCGTAAGACTAAGCCGATGAAAAAAGGAGGATCTAGTCTCGACAATTGATAAACCCTAATCTGATGTTAGCTATCTGCAACCCTTCTATAGAACAAAACATAAGCAGCTGAAGTTTTTATCCTGTCTTCACTAATGGGAGAAACATGGCCGTCATCGAAGTCATACCACTGATTAGTACCCCCATGCTACATCCGAAAAAAGAGAATTAGAAAAATCAAATTCAACATACGTAAGCTTGTCAATCTATAAAATGCAATCATTAATAATGAAAAACAATCATTCAATCTAATACACGGTACACCTTAACATGATCAAGTATCAAGGACTTGTGGATTCTCCATATTTTATATTGATAATTAAGTTTTTTGGGAATACGGCCACAAGGCCTACAATTACAAGTCACAACAATTTGCCATAATTAAAAGCAATCAAATTAAATCACAAGTTCAGGCAACGAGGACTAACACCATCAGAAACAATTCCTATGTCATTATCCTTACCACTCAATAACGCTATCGGAAAGAGTTTTTAAATATAGCAGGAAAAGAGAAAAAAGAGTTTGATTTTTGAAAATTTCAATGTCAGTACAATGTACGTAGTCATTCTTTAAAATATTTCTGAATGAGGTGCACAAACAATTAGCCATGATCTACAAAGCCGAACTAAAATAACTCATATCTACATAATCAATGTTTTGACGTTGATTATTTCAGAGCAGATCCATGTTTTGATGTTTATTTACTTTAGATGTTGCTTAAATTGCAATAGAGATCTACATAATCAAGCACTCAAATGAAAAGGATAGAGATCAAACAAATGGGGAATAAAACTCTATTAAGCAAGAAGAAGCACCACTTACATGGACAAATGCAGTGTAATGGCCACCTCCCATGCTTCCATAGTGATTACTAATTGCATAAAGCATATAACGGTTACAAGATTGACCATTCCCATAAGCAATATATGTTGACAAATCAAGATCATGGACAGGAAAGTTAACATATGCCTCCAGCTTGTTCTTTGAAAACCGGCTATATGAGAACCTCTTTAAATGAATAACTAGAATCTCCGGTAGTCTCCAAAGATCCAACTTTTTGCTTGCTTGTCGATGTTTCTTGCAGCCAGGACAGTACCTGAGATTACAGATTACTGTAAAGGTCACTAGGTTGGAAAAACTTGATGATGAAGAAAATGTTGCATAAGAAGCAAAAACCATATCAGAGAAAAAGAAGACCATATCAGAGAAAAAGACGAAGAAACAAAGAAAGCAAGACGGGAAAATTGGAAAACAAAGAAAGACAAAAAACTTCCAAAAGAAAATTTTAACATTACAGAACAGAAGAATTCTTCTCACTGTGTGCTGTTTTTGTATGAAAAACTATAAGCAAAAATAGGGTTCGTTATGCTTGCTAAATCAAAATTTTGGGGTTTTGAAAGAACATTAACCTTGAACCCTTCTGAATCAATAGCACAAGAAGTTATGAGTACAAATTGATTTATAAGAGATAAAAATTCTAAAGCAAAGCATTGATAGAAGAAGAAGAAGAAGAAACAGAAAAAACAAAAGCCAGTCTTTAACAGAGAAAGTTGATCAATGATGAAATCACATGTGAACTGCCTACAGAAGGACAATTGAGTGTTTCAATAGACTAACAATATGATGAAACATTACAAAAGACGTGATAAAATACCCTTGATTCTAAAAAAAATAAGAAGATAAAAACCCCGACCACTAAAAGAACCCTAATCCCTTACCCCAAAAAAACTGGAATCTTTTCCTTCCTGAGTTTCCTAAAATCTTTTGTCCATACCCGTCCATGAAATCACTTAATGGGTACGTAAGGTATAAATGCATTGATTCGGTCAAAAGAAAGGGGGTGGCATTGAAAATCTGGTCCCACGCAGTGCCAGAGGAAGTATAAACCAAGAAACAAAAACTGAAACCCTTAAAAAAATTATCTTGCCTCTAGTAAATGGGTCAGATAATGCTAGCTGCGTACAGTGCAAGAATATTCTCAGATCAAAACTTAAAAGCTAATGATGTACACACTGACCACATGTCCTCTAGTCCAAGAGGCTCCTCCTTCAAGAACGCTTCGAGGCATTTATATAGAGAAACAGACTCTTGAGGTCTTTTTGTAAAGAATTCAGACTTGAAGACTTGGGGTAATGAGCTGAGGAGGTGTGTCTTGTACCGCTTAACCATCTTATCTGGCCAACAAACAAGCACACTCAACTTCCCATGCAAAACTGGGGATGCCACTGGCTCATTCATTGCAATCCTAGAGTCCCTGATTGTTCCCTTCTCGTCTGTTAAATATAACTCCAAAGCACCATCAGAATGTGTGTCGAACTCATTCCCATTAGCGGAGTCTGCACCTTGAAAACCAGGAGTTGTGGCATCCTCCATATCTGTTAGTCCTGCAGTTGCAGTTCTCTCAATGTTATTGTCATCATTTGTGGAATCTTCACTGGGTATTAGGAATGCTCCAAGCAATTTTAGATACAGATTATGGATATCAGATCCACTAACAAATTTAGAACTTGCTACAAGAGGAATCCCAAACGCCTTCCAGCTTGATGTCAGCTTCCCACAGACGTAAGACCTGACAACGTAAATTTTATTAGCAACCCCAAACACCTTCTCATTAAAAATGTTTAAGGAACTAAGATAAAGCGTTGAAGCAAATTAACAAGGCAAAAAGCATGTATGACGTAACACGTTCTACTAAGGCAGAGATAGCAACAGAACTAAAATAACTCATATCTTGACATTAACAAGGCAAAAAGCATGTATGACGTAACACATTCTACTAAGGCAGAGATAGCAACAGAACTAAAATAACTCATATCTTGACATTGACAACGGCATGGCATCTACCAGTATATGAAATCAAATTTAGTAATCATAAAATCAAAGATCCAAAAAAATAAAAATTGTCCACATTACCAGTCCCCATGACTCTGACATGAAATCTAAGATACAAATACAAGCACATTTCTAACTTGAATTCATGAACATTAGGTTTAGTTGTTCATAAAGCCAAAAGAAAATTCATATAATAAAAGGACAGCAATTCCACAAAGCAATGAGATTGGATAAAAGTTGAGCACATAGCATCATCAATAGGTTCTACAATTCACTCTTTAAGAAGATTCCAACACTATTCTTTATATATATATGGAGAGAGAGAGAGAGAGATGTTGTATAAAATTATGCCCCCCACCCCGGCCACGGCTGCCCCAGCGTCCCCTGACCATCATGAGATAAAAGCATTGGCACTACCTGCCATTTATCAACTATAGGCCATAACAACTTGAGACAAAAGAAGAAAGGTGCTGTTGGAAGACAAGCCAGAAGAACAACTATAAAGAGACGTAAAAACAGAAAGCTAATTCAGTGCAAAACATTGGAAAAGATCAAAGTTATTTTGAAAAGCTCAAAGATGTCAATCAAGGGTAACCAGCTTAAGATCATTTGAAACACGTCAATAACAATATAATCATCAATGAGCAACTCTAATCATTTGCTAGGTGCATACAGTGTGTTGCTATATCCTGGTCCCAAACATTTCGGTTAACTTGTACTTTTCTACAAGATTTTCTGAAGCTATTGCACCATATACAACCATTCCTAGTATATTAATTTTCCCATACCTGAATTCATTATGTAATACTCACAATACAAGAAAAAATAATAATAGTATGCAAATTTCAATAAAATTGGAAAGAAAAGATGATCAAACTGAAAAGCAAATTTAACTTACTCTTCCGCGTGCTGATGCATAAATACAACTGTTGGGCCATTCTCAGCATCCTTTGGCAACCGATATGCAACCAGTCGGTCATCATCTCTAATTAAGGATAATGAATCACCTGACTCCCCTAGATAGCGTATGATGCGATTGTTGTATATCTGTGAGTAACTATATGGTTAGAGCTCAAAACAAAATCTAATGTTGATCAGTAAATATAACTGCACCAATCTACCATGTATTTAGTCTTAGAAGAGTTACAGTTACCAAAATATACCTCGGCCACCAAAAGGGTCTCATCAACCCCTAAAGAACAAGCAGTGCTTAAAGCCTGAATAAGATCTTCAAACTTTCCATGCTTGGACACTGTAACAGTAAATGGAGATGGGGGACTACTTCCATCAGTACTCATGACTGTCAAAGTCATTGTCCGCATCGTTGTTGATGGTAAAGGTAGTGACAGATACATAAACGGATCAAACATAGTGGAGACCTTTCTGCAAACAGGACACACTAGTGTTGACCTATACTGACCCTGCAATGGCAATTAATCATGAGCTGTTTCAATAAGGGTGAAAAAGTTATCATCAGAAGTATGTAAGAACCACCTATTCTTGACACTCTATAAAGGTGATATAATGCAGCCATATAAGCTATAAACAAAATAAAATCTAATCTATTTTAGGCATATTTAAACATCTTCCAATTATAATACATCCATAAGTTCTTTTGTACTGTTGAAAAAGGAAAAATCAAGTTAAATGTAATCCAGCATTCCCGTTGGATTCCAAATATAATAATTAACAACTAAATACCACTATTTGCATGATTGCATGCAATCAGGTCAAATCATTATAGAGATATACATGTATATACCTTCTTCAATTAAATTATTTGAGAAATCCAAGTTATCTAGGAGAAACCAAAAGAATGAAAAGAATTATTTGGCTTACCAATCAATGAGATAGAGGCAATGTATATATAATATATCCATGATACAATTTAAGAAATAATATACACAGGGTAAGATTTCTATAATCAAAATAATTCCTATTCTAATTTCCATATTCAAACGTAACATTTTGATTTTTATATTTAATACTCCCCCTCAAGCTAATGTGAAGATATTCAACAAACACAGCTTGTCAATGCAAGACTGGAGCAAAGTTGGTCTCACAAATTTTGTGAACATATCTGCCAACTGCTGAGAAGAAGAGACAAAGGATGGACGCACAATGCCAGTCTGAACCTTTGCTCGAATGAAATGTATGTCAACCTCAATATGCTTGGTACGCTCATGAAGTACAGAATCAGAGGATAAAATAATGACAGATTTGTTACCACAAAATAAAGAGAAATAAACAATCTCCTCAAAACCTAACTCTGCCAAAATAGAGTGAATCCAAAGAATCTCACATGTACCATGTGCCCGATACTCAACCTCTACAGAAGACTTAGAAACCACCACTTACTTCTTACTTTTCCATGAGATAAGATGATCACCATAGAAAGCACAGAAGCCACAAATGGAAGCCAATCAATCCTAGATCCTACATAGTCTGCATCAGTAAAACAAGAGAGCCCAGATTGGTGACCAGCGATAAAGAACAATCCCAAGCTAGGAGAAGTTTTTAAATACCTCAAAATATGATGAACCGTGTCAAGGTACTCTTTATGAGGTGCATGCATGAACTGACTCACAACACTAACTGCAAATGTCAAATCAGATCTAGTGTTGGTCAAATAAATGAGGCGTCCAACAAGACGCTGATATATGCCTGGGTCATCCAGTAACTCACCAGACTCTGATGTGAGTTTGACATTAGGATCCATAGGAGTAGAAAGAGGTTTACACTCTAACATACCAGTATCTTGAAGCAAGTCAAGGGTGTACTTTGAGATAAGGAGATCCCCTCCCTTCAGCGAGCCACCTCAATTCCCAAAAAATATTTGAGACATCCCAGATCCTTAATATTATAAGTTTGGCCAAAGTCCTTTACTTGACCAATGCTGACAAAGTCATCACCTGTGAGAATAATATCGTCCACATAAACTAACAAGACTATACACTGACCTGCAAAATTTCGATAAATGAAACAAGTGTGATCGGAGTGGCACTGAACAAAGCCCATAGATATAATAACAGAACTAAAGCGACCAAACCATGCTCGTGGTTACTGTTTCAAACCATACAAGGATTTACGTAACCGGCACACTTTCTCCAAATACTCCCCCTCAGCCCGAAAACAGGGTGGAAGAGCCATATAAATCGTCTCAAGAAGATTTCCATGGAGACATGCATTCTTGACATCAAGCTGATAAAGAGGCCAAGAATGAGATGCTGCAGGGGAGATAAGAAGACGTACAGAAGTAAGCTTGGTGATAGGGGCTAAAGTGGCACCAAAATTCTTGCCAGGAATCTGTGTGAAACCTTTGGCCACCAAGCGGGCTTTGTAATGATCAACTAAGCCATCAACGAGGTACTTTATAGTGAACACCCATTTGAACCAACTGTTCTTTCCCCAAGAGGTAAAGGTACAAGATCTCAAATGTGATTCTATTCTAAGATCGTCATCTGAGTCTGCATAGCTGCTACCCATTTGAGATTCTAAAAAGCCTCAGATACAGAACGAGGAATGGACTCCGACTCAAGCTTGCCAAGAAAAGAACGGTAAGAACGGAAAGCCCTGTCATAGGAAAGATACTAGAAAATAGGATGATAAGTACTACTCAAATAACTCAAACAATTTGGAGAATGTCGATCCCGATGTGGATTACGAGGAGGTGGAGGAGAAGTTAAAGGAGAAGAGTTACCTGACCCAGAGATTGGAGAGGCAACAAGGGGGCTGGGTGACGGGAGTATACTTGTAATGGAGGAGGAGGCGAAGGTTGAGAAGTAGGAAGGAGGACAGCCTCATTCTCAACCTCGTCTAAAATGGTCACCGGGCGAACAGTGGAAATAATAGGAGGAAAAGCCTACAAAGAAGGGTTAGTACCAAAGGAAGGAAGATCCTCACAAAACCTAACATCCAAAGTGTGGTGAAAGAGACGATATACAGGGTCATAACACCTATACCCTTTGGACATAGAAAAGTACCTAAGAAGATACAACGAATAGATTTGTCATCTAACTTTGTGCGAGTAGGACTCCGATTTTGAACAAAACAAGTACATCCAAAGGCACGAGGTAAGAGTGGAAATAGAGTGGTGGTGGGCATAAGGGTATGGAACGGAGTGAGTCCATGCAATATTAATGAGATAAGCAGCAGTAAGGATAGTCATATGCCAATAAGACTTGGGAACACCCATATCTCGAAGAAGACATCGAACAATATGACGATTTTTGTGTTCAACAACACCATTTTGTTCAGGGGTCTGAGGACAATTAAGTTGCTAAAGAATACCGGTTTAATTAAGATGGGAACAAAATGTATTAGAAATATATTTCCCACCATTATCAGAACGGATAGTCCTAACAACTGCATGAAACTGAGTTTTAACCATCTGTAAAAATTAGACAAAAATGGGAAAGACGTGTCAGACTTGCGACAAATTAAATAAACCCAAGTGCACCTAGTGTGATCATCAATAAAAATCACGTAATATCTATGATCAAAAAAAGCAGTAACAGGAGAAGGGCCCCGACATTAGAATGTATAAGATCAAAAAGCACTAGGAGTACGAGTCATATAAGAGATATAGCTAGTACAGGTATGCTTAGACAACTCACAAACCACACAATGAAACTTAGAATCTTTGCAAACTTTATTAAATGAAGGAAAAAGTTGACATAAATACTGAAACTTAACATGACCCATACGAGTATGCCATAATTCTAAAGTATGAATATTAAAAACACAAGACACAGAAGCAGGCAAAACAAAGGCTTGAAAACTAGCTAAGGAAGAAGAGGAAGGCTCGTCCGGTGGATCTCCAAAATAGTACAGCCCATCACGCTCATAGCCCTTGTCAAAAATCTTCTTCAAACTCAGGTCCTGTAAAAGGCAAGAGGAGGGTAAGAAGATGATAGCTCAATTAAATTGTTTGGCAAAACAACTAACAGATAAGAGATTATACGCAAAATTTGGAACATGTAAAACAGATGATAAAGTAATGGTAGGAGTTAAAGACACTACACCCTTATGACGAACAGAGGATAACGAACCATTAGCAAGACATACAAATTGGGCAATAGTAGTAGAGGCTGGCAAAGAAAGAAAGGAAAACTCACTCGTCATATGATCATTAGCCCCAGAATCCAGAACCCATGAGAGACTAGCAAACCGAACATGGAAAGCAGTAGAAGTACCTGTTCAAAGGGTGGCAACAGTGGTAGATGATGGGCCAAGAGAACTGGCAGTAAGAGATCCAAGCTGAGTCTGAAGCTGACCAATCTGAGTCTGTAACTCCTGTAAATTAGGGAGATAAGGAGACCTAGGAACAGGAGTAGCAGAATCCACTAGAGCCGCAGTGCAAGAGGTGCTAGCACCATGAGGGCGAGAGGAACATTGCCTCAACTCAGGATGAAATTTGAAATAACGAGCCTTAACATGACCAGAAACGCCACAATGATGACAAGTAACTGGATCAGTAGAACCCCGAGAACCAGACTTTACAACAAAAGCCATCTAGTTAGATGAAACAGGAGACCGAGGAGAAGGATTCGACTGAACCAGATGCCTATGACGCTCATCATTATCAATGGTGGCAAAGGCCTCATAGAGAGAAGGCATAGGTGATGTGTTCAAAATCTAAGTTCGAAGGGATTCAAACTCAGAGTTCAAACCCATCAGAAATTGGTAAGTATGCTAGCGAGCAAGGCGTTTGGACACAAGAGAGGCAGCATCTACTGGTAACTCAGTCAAGGGCTCATATTGAGCTAATTCTTCCCAACGGGCCTAAAGGTGTCCAAAGAATTCTGCCACAGAAAGACCCAAGGCGGATTGGGAAGCACGAGTAATATCCTGATAGAGCTCAAAGATGCGAGCATCGTTATGATCATAAGCATACATCTGTGACAAGGCATGCCATAGACCGGGAACTGTGTCGCAACAGAAAAACATGTGATAAATACCATCTTCCAAGTAGTTGAACATCCATCCCAAAATAGTACAGTTATCAATATCCCACTGTGCACAGGTAAGATCTGTTGCAGTAGGCTAGGTAGTGGAAGATAAAAGCTAATGAGCTTTTCCCTGTCCCCTAAATAGAGTTTAAGGGAGCAGCTCCAGGTGGCAAAAATTTTCCCATTCAACACTACACTCGTAATACGATGAACAAGAGTGTGATGAGAAAGAGAAAAATCAGAACTAATTCGAACAGGCTTGGTGGGTATATCAGCAAAGGATGGATGAGTCATGGTGGAATAAGATGGGCTGAAAAACACACAAAGATAACAACAAAATCCAAGAAAAAATAAGAAGTCGGAAAAAACTCAACGGCTTATCTAAATAGATGCTACCGAATAAGCCCGGTAGTCTAAAAGAATAAAAAGACAAACAAAAGGGCTTAATACATCAGTTCAATCACCCCAAGAAAGGGAAAAAAAAAAAGAAGCCACGGACCACCTAAAGAGGTAGCCAAATCTGGTCAGCAATAACCAAAGCCTTGGCAAGGATAAAGAAGGCCTACCAAGGTGAAGACAAGGAAGAAGAGGGGCTACGAAGGCTGGGCTGAGGCTGTCAGAGGGAGAAAAAGAGTTGGAAAAGGCTGTCGGAGGCTAGAGAGAAGAAAAAAAAGGCAATTGGTGGTGATGAGTGATTGAGAGAGAGATGGCTAGGGAGGCTCTGATATCAAAAAGAATGAAAAGAATTATTTGACTTACCAATCAATGAGGTGGAGGCCATGTATATACAATATATCCATGATACAATTTAGGAAACAATATACACAAGGTAAGATTCCTATAATCAAAATAATTCATATTCTAATTTCCATATTCAAACATAATATTTTAATTTCTATATTCAACATGAAAGTTTACAATACCTATATTAGATGGCACTCCTGACCTTTGTGCAAAAATCTAACCTCAAATACTAAGTGGCATGTTAATATAACTTTATGAAACCAGATAATTAATTTTGTTCTTCCTTGGAAAAGGGAAAAAAAATTTAAAAAAAATTAGAGCATATGTCATATTTATACAAGGATTCCAAAATTCTAAACTCTGATTTCCTTTAGAAAAAAAAATGCAGAAGAAACCTAAGAAACGATACTCACTTGGCAAACGTCAACAATAATAGAGTCATTGCGAGCCAGATGGTTCTGCCAATATTCATCAGCTAGTTCTTCATCAGGCCGGCCATCCCCGTCCTTGACTTCTACATAAGGTTTGCATTTAACACGATTCAAATCTTCATGAAGCCCATCCAATAAAAAAGCAAGAAGCTCCTACCGTAAAAAACAATCATTAGTTCCTTGACTAGAAACGGAAGATAGAATTCTAAATTTCAAATCGAGAGAAGCACTAACTTGGGAATCATGTTGATTAAAACCACTGAACTGAGGAGCAAAACAACCAAGTTTTGACTTAAACATTCTTGGTGCTACCGGAGTTGTTCCAGGAGCCCATAACTTCCGCAACAAATCTCCAAATGCTAAAGCAATCTCACCCTGAACAATAAATGGAGACTAAGCAATAATAAACTCAAAAAGGGGCAGGCATTACAAGAGATTGAATTTGCATGGACCATCTCCAGGAAACAAGCACACTGAAATTACCAAACTACTATTGTTGTAACAAAATAGAACTTAGAAAACAGAAACAAAATAACACCCAAAAAAAGTCAGAGAGAGAGAGAGAGAGATTGAAAGAGCAAAATCCATACAGGAGCATGGCATTGTTATACAAGACTATTTAACATGAACTCATGTACAGGTGTGGAGTGTCAAATGTCAGGTATGTGTCTATGTGTCAAATTCATCTAATTCTCATGACCAAGGACACCAAGACATCGCTAAACTTCATATTTCTTAAAATACTTTATTTAAGATAAAATGGTGTTTACAAAATAATATAGAGCTTTTATGCATAGAATTGAAGTCTTGTGGATAATTTCATAGTTAACTACTAAAACATATTTATTGGTGTATGTCCAACTAGACTTGTCGAACACATGTCCCATACCCTAACCCAAATGTCAAGTGTCCTACACAGGTCCTTCACAAATTTAGAAGAGTCTACATCAAGAACAAACAAATGATAACATACATCCATGCCTAACGGATTGTCATGATTTATTTCTCTATTGTAATCTCCAATGAAGTAGTCCACAAGCTTTGGTGTGTGTGCCAAACACTGAAGAGCACTGTTCATGAAACAAGTATTCCCAAGGTTTTGTAATCCTGTCAAGCCCAAAGAACCTACTTCACCAAAGCAGCCACAAAAGGCAGGTGAATTGCCCCGAACAAAACTAGAGTTCACATTGGTAGCACCACCATTCATCATAAATGAAGTGCCATTAAGATGAATCCCTGCCGCATCACCTTTTTTCACATCTCTGCTTCTAATGAAATCTGACAACCCGTAAACTTGCAACTCAAGGAGAATCTGTATACAGACAAACAAGAAACATAAATGCCCATGCATCAATATGACAGTCGAATATAATGATGACAATTAAGTAGTTAGTAATCAAGTTATTAAGATAGTCAAATAGTATTTTGCACTCAAATTTTTAACAATGACAGAAGTAGAGTAGCCTGCTTATGACTATTTTAAGCTCTCTCTTCTTGAATAGCAAACATGGTATGACCCACCTTGACTCCAGGAGGTCTCTTCGCATGTATTTATTCCCCAATCATGTTTTCCCATGTACTCTCTATTATGTTTGTATGTTACTGCACCATTTTTTGTTTTTTTTTTTTAATTTTAAAATTTAAAAAAATAAAAGTACAAATTTGTGCCTATCTCCCTTTGTGCAAAACAGATTTTCAAATAAGACTGCAAGAGCTTGACTTATGTTTTTTTGACCCATGCCCTAACAGCTTAAGCAATTTACAAAAATTGGTTGCCTAGAATCTTAGATGAATTTATCAGGTGTACTTTAGTGTTCTACTGCTACAATTGTTTTGCATTCTTTAAATTGCAATTGTTTTATGTGAATGTTATCTTAATGTTTAAATTATGGAATATAAGCCTTTTTAATTTAATTAATGTTATATTACTCTCTTATTTTTTTCATTACCATTGAATAAACTATTCATATATTCAATATATAATAAATTTTTAACGTGTCCCAAGTTTATCGTGTCCTGCATTTTTTGAAAATTGACGTGGCGGCAAGTCAGTGTCGTGTGTCTATGCTACTTAGCCTAGCATGACTACAAACTAAGCTAAGCAATGCATTTTATGGCACAAACTATCTCCAAGGACACGGTTTTTTTAATTCAGTTTGAAACAAACAGCACAGGGATCGAAGAGTGATACCAAATCGCTCACTGTTCATACTTTAAGCAAGATTATACTTCTGGAACTCATGTGAAGGATATTGTAGTTACTGAGAATGATGTCATGAAATTAGGCCCTTGAAGGCAAGTGGAGATATTTTCTATGTACCTAGATAAAGGAAATATGAAACTCGTCTTTTTTTTCTAAGAACAATATGTTAGATGCCAAACCTATAAAAACCCCATGGACCTGAACATCAAGCTTTGTAGAGGCGAGGGTAAAACAGTTGAAGTTCAAAGGCTGATAAATTTGGCTATGACACAACTAAAATCACTTTTGTTGTTAGAAAGGTGAGCCAGTGATGTGGAACACAAGGAAACTTTAATGGAATGACGCTTCCCAATTCCTACATTAGAGTTGGTGATAAGTTTGATTCTGATTTATGAAAAGCTTCCACTGCTGGGGAATTAAATGTAGAAAAAAGTTCTAGGGTTTAGAGACAAATAGATGGGAGAATTGTCTTGATTTCCTGAAAGATAGGTTGCAGGATTTTTTAGATACAGTGTGCTAGAAGTTTGTGAACAGAAGGTTTTAAGGGTTCTAGGTGTGAAACTAATGCTCGATCAAGTAGAGTTTTGTGGCAGAAATCAGGACTGTTTTGAGGCTGTGAACCGTAACTCAAGAACAAATATATTGTGGAAGAGAAAGGAAGAAGAAGAATCTAAAAATCTCACTTTCAAATAAAATAAAATAAATTACCCCCAAGGTAAAGTTGCATAAAACATCACACAAAGCTCAAAAGCTTCACATAAAATTTCAAAATTGAACTCCACTAATTAGAAGAAGTACATAGATATATAAGCTACTATACTTCTAGTTCTACTAGGATTATGACTTAAAACTAACTAAGAATTATGGTGAATTGAATAATCTAGAACTAAATAAACCACATGTAATGATTGGATAGAATAACTTGATCCATAAGACAATTTTAGTATATAGTAATTTATAATTGGCATGGCATACAGTTTCTCAGTTCTGAATTCCTCTCAAGTGACAACAAAGTGAAAAGTAGAAATCTTATCACACATATCTACCACCTACCTCCTGCTCTGACTGCTGCTGAGTCTCTTTTACAAACATATTTTTTTCGCTTGAGAAAAATAGGGTTGTCTGCCCAGAAAAATCCCATATGCGCAACTGCATAACAGCAGGAGTTAGAAGGCATCCACTTCCATGGGAAATTATCCTATTGCTTAAATAAACAGAGAGACCCTTTTGTTTCCATTTAATAAATAAACATATTTAGCTTTTTCAGCTTATTTTAAACTTTTTGAGCTAAAAAAACAAGTTGAAAACCAAATAATTGTAACCAAACACCCTAACTTTTTTTAAATAGAATTGCTAAAGCATGTGTTTTCAAATTTTAAGCTAAGTAAGTTGCAAATAAGCGAAAACAAAAAGGTAAATTAATAATCATAGTTCAAACCATCCAATTCCACTTGAAATTATATTGCTCCTTTGGGAAACACAAAAAAATTGAATGCTTACTAGCTCAGTCTCAGCACTGAAAATCTTGCAGGCTCTTCTGAAGTGTTCGGCTGCATTGTCCTGAAAAGGAAATACAAAAAGATGCACTTCAACATATGGAAAAGAAATGAATAAATAGGCAAACAAGATAGCCTAATGATACATACAACAAGAAACCAGATATCAGTTATAATACACAATCCCCATTTTAGCTATTAAAAGGAAATTTTGATTTAGCCTGACAATTCAATAACAGTCGTCTAAATATCCCAAACATTAGAATTCCATGTCATGAAATCTTGTTTTTTGACTCTCATATAGGTGGATCTCCCAAGTATTAAACCCAATGAATGAGGACTTTTTAAATTAATAGAGAATTTCGAGGGCTAAATGAATATATAGCATTTTGTTTCATCTAGGTATATTTGTGGATCTATGCCGGTAGCATCCCTTTTAAACAAATTTTAGGGGTTAGTTTTTATGTTTTTGTCCTTTTTTTTTTTTTTTTTTTTGATAAATAAACTTTATTAAGAAAGCATCGAGATGATGCAAGGAATACAAAACACCCAATGAATGAGGATTTTTTTAAAATTAATAGAGAATTTTGAGGGCTAAATGAATATATCGCATTTTGTTCCATCTATGGATCTATGCACGTAGCAGCCCTTTTAAATAAATTTTAGGGATTAGTTCTTAACATAATTAAAATGGAACATTTAGTCCAATTGCTTTTTTGTTGACCATAAAAGTCCCTCAAATTTTTTTATGAGTGGTACTATATACCCCTAATATATCACCCCTAATTTGACCTCTAATGAGGTGGCAAAGAGAGAGAATAGAGAGAGGAAGGATGAGAAGTGAGGAGTATGAACCATTCCACATCATTAGAAGTGGATTAGGGGTGCTCAATTAGAGCTCCCAAGCATTTTTCTTTTTTTACAGTGGGACGTTTAGTCCACATTTCAAACGAGAATTAGGTTGCGTTTGGTAGAGTTTTAGAATTATGATTTGATAATAGAGTTTTATTTTGAGTATGTGAGTTTTGAAATTATGATTTGAATGTGAAAATTTTGTTTGGTTATGAGTTTTGAATTGAGTTAGAATAATTGATGTAACATATGATATTTGATTCAAAAACTTATAACTCATAACCAAACACACAATCCAAAATTCTATTCAGAGCTCATAAAAAAAAAATTTAATTCGGAAAATATTTTTTATTTAATATATAAAAAATTACAGGTGTCAATTGCCAAAAAAAATAAAAATAAAAAATAATCCGCATTGTTCTGATCAACCGGCCGGACGTCCGGGAGGATAACCGAGTGGGCAAAATTTCAAAATTCAAATCCTGCCTGAAACGAGTTTTCAAAAGTGGTGTGGAATTAATTTTTGAACACTATCCAAACAGAGGGTTCAGGGGAAGGGGTAAAATCATATTTCAAAAGCTTCTCCAAACATAGCCTTAGTTTTTTAAAATGTATTTACCCTTGCACAGTAAACATTGAACAATAAATGTTACCTCGATAACCATTTTATCCATTTTCTTAGGTTCAAACAACTTTCCATATTTTAATTTATTTCAAATTTTAAAATGAAATAACTTTTGTTCTATAGGTTCATTTTTATATAATTTACATTTTTTGAATCCATTTGTCGTGATCTTTCAAACAAGACACGTGATAATTATAAGATTATGTAAAAATACTTCTACACAAATTTAATATATTCCATGAATCACGAACACCATCCAGTTGCTTATTTTTTGTAATAACCGGGTGTCTGGGTCAGTTTACTCGCACCTCGACTAATCTCGGAAGACCAATCCCACCACTCCCTATATGGACTAGCCCCAAGGTGCTTATTGGAGCTAGTGCATATTGAACCTGTGACCTGAAGGAAGCACACCGCTAGACCCCAAGTTGTGCCCACTAGGCCAACCCCTCAAGGTTAGCTATTAAAACTAATATTACATTCACATGTAACTATGGCACTTTGCAGTTTGTATTAGCAGTGCATCATGTAAGGGCTAGATGTTTTTTGTCTGATAATGTCAAAGAATGCATTTCAAATTCATAAATTTCCAGAAGAGGGCAAAGGTGGAAAATCTAAAATGACCAATCAAGAAATGAATATTAGTGAAGGAATGAAAAGAAAGATCAACAACCCAAATAGGGACCCATAATATGCATTCCATGATAGTACCAGATAGATTCATAGCCATTGTGATGTTCCATGTCTCCAAAAAAAAGATAAACAAAAAAGGAGATTAACTAGGGGGGAAAAATCACCTTTTTGCTTATTTTTACTCCCACCGAGTTAGTTTCTCTCAAAACGAAGCGCCTAAGTTGTAAAGGATAGACATCAGCCATATCATCTTCTGCTGCTGAAAAGCTTCTACCATTCTTCATTGCAATTTTGGAATCAATGTGCCTAAGTGGAGCAGGAGAACAGTACCAGTTGTAGAGAGATCAAAGATCTTTATTGGGACAAACTATTATTAGATAATCACTTGTATCCAAAGGCATACGCTGTCTGTAATATAGATAAAACCATCAATATAAAATATAGCCTCGCCAATATATCAATTTACCACGCAACTCTTGACACAAAAAAATTATTTAACAATTTGTAGAAGCAATAAAATTAAATTTTAAAAATGATAGAATCAACTTCAAGAGGGTATTTGAAAGATGAGAAAGGAACCAACATATAAAGAAACTGTATTCATTTACAAATTCTATGAAATATTCAAAAAAAAATTGGAGCAACATGTTATGTTATAACTTATTGTTGAGTTCACAGTTAATTCAGTTGGTACGTGGAAAAAGAAACTAATAATAGTACTCCAACAAACAAGGATAAGACAGTTTACAGAACTTATAAGGATTCTACAAACTCTATCATATCATAAATAAGTTATCGGAGGCGGGCAATTAAACCAGTTGTTCAAATAATGAAAATTAAGGTATCTAAAGCACATATGTCATCAAAGAAAGACCGATTTTCACGCTCATTCGAATCGAAAACCCAATTCAATTGCACAAACACAATAAAGCCAAGCCATTGGCTATTCAATAACTTGAAACAACCCTTATCACACAAATTGCTAAAAAAAACTCACCATTTAAGTGCTTGCAACCACATTTCCCCAGTAACCAAAGCATAGTCCCGACCCGAGATCCCAACTTCACCACCATTCTCTTTATTATGCACAGAATCATCCTCCCTCCTCAAATTCAACACAAGATCTGAGTTAAATATGTTGCTGATTATCTTCATCGGGCCGGCAAACAATGACGCCGACGACGCCGTGTACAAAATCCCTCTCTTCCCATCCGAATCAAGCCACGAAGAAGAGTCTTGTGCCTCTTTCCACCACCTAAAAAACACATATCAAAACCAAACCAAGCCAATAATCACCTTAATTTTTGATCATTTCATTCCAATGCAGACCCAATCACCCAAATCAAAATCAAAATCAAAATCAAAGAAAATGAAGTGTTGATTCGAATTTAGATTTGAAGTTTGAGTTGTGGATTTGGAAATGCGGATTGAGGAGAGAGAAGTGGGAGAGCGAAGTGGGAGAGAGTGAGTGAGAAAGGGTTTTATGTACCGATAGGGGACGAAGTAGAATCGTAGGTCGTCGTGATTTGAAAGGGAGGATTGTTGACAAGTGTGAGAAGAATCTTCGGGGAGATCTTCCATGAGATAAAGACGGAGCTTGTATAGATTCAAAATTGGCGGAACAGATTTGCTAGTACAATGCACATCATTTTTCAGTAGACAGAGAGAGAGAGAGAGAGAGATTTGCAGAGAAATAAATCGAGCTTTTCTGTGAAGAGGATTCAAGGAGGGAAAATAAAAATAAAATAATTTTTTTTTATTTTTGGGTTTTGCTATTGACAATGCATTGTTGGCTATTTGATGAGAGATGAACAGCTGTGGGATGTATCAAACAGTGATACGATGTTCTGGCGAAAGTTGATTATTCCTTCATAAATTAATTAATGTATTTGATTTCAATTTTTTGAATTTAATTTTATAAAAATTAAGTTTAAAAAAAAATTATAAATATTATACTTTTTAAATGTATTTATATTAAATGTGTCTAAAAATTTTAAAAATTATTTAAAAAATTTAAATAATTAAGTGAAAATAAAAAAATAAAATTTTCTGAAAAATAAATTCTGAAAATGAAAACCAAACAGAGTGAATAGAGTCAAGCATGCCTGTATGAGATTTTAAATATCAATAAAAGAAAGAAATGACCCCAAAAATTAATTACAATATTTGATTTCGTTTTGAGAATTTTTTTTTTAATATTCAGAAATAAAAATAAAAAACATTCATCAATTTTTTTTGTTCTTTTTGTTTGGTGAACAAATTATTTTTAAAATTTTAAAAATATATATTTTAAATATTTATTTTTACAAAACTATTTTTAATTTTTAAGATTTTTCAAAAACTAAACTACTAAATTTTTAATTTTAAGACGTCAAAATACTGGCTTGAAACGAGACCATTTTTAAAAATATAAATTCCTCACAATTTTCAAAAATATAAAAAAATTCAATTTCAGGTCATAACTTTTTTGCCATTTTTTTAAAACTAAAACTAATCAATTTCTGATTTTTTTTAAAACCCTAAAATGGTCACAATGACTCGAAATCGAGACATTTCTTAAATTGTAAAATTTCTCAATTTCAAAACTGAAAAATTCCTCAAGGCCGTGAAATATGCAATTATGTAAAAACTGAAATAGAGATATTTCGCAAGCTCAAACTCAAACTGTGAAATTTATCAATTTCCAACTATCAAATGATTCTTAAAATGAAATAGATATCTCCATTCTTAGAAGGGAGAGAATTCAAATCTCAGATCACCATCATCAATATGGCATCTCAATTAATTTGGTATATAGTGTTATAAGATTCTTCTAATATTTACGAGCGTTATTGCGTCATAAGTTACCTTAACCAACTAAAGTTAGCTCAGTAGGCTAGAACTCCTTCACCTCACTAGAACCGTCGCTAGAACAGTCAAAAGTTCGCGTCCTCCTCCTCTGGTTACAATCTCATAGAACCAAACCATGAAACAATGCCTATGCAGAACAAAAGGAAATCAAGATGCAGGATCTCCATAAGATTTCCAACAAATTTCCAAAGCAAATGCTTCTAATAATTAGACCTCGTAATAAAAAAACTTACAGACCTTGTTTTTCCCTTGCACAAGGAACATTACAGACAGAAAAACAACCAACATAGAACCAGGTAAGATGAAAAACAAACATAATAATAATGGGAAATGCAAGGAAAAGTTAATAACCTACCCTAATCAATTATATCAATAATAGCGAGAGCCAGTATCATAAACACGGCCCCCAGGATATGGACCTCTGGACTCAAAGCCATGATCTCGTGTACTCCCAAGAAATCGAGCCCGTTCTCTGTAGGAATCATATTGATCAACATTATATGTTCGGTGTGATTCGCTACCTGCAGCTCCACCATACCCATGAGGATCACTAGGACCCATGCCACTATTGGGGTAGTGATCCATCGTAGCCTGCTGGTACTGCTGTTGTCGTGCATGGGATTCCCTCCGAAGGAACTCATCTCGACGACCGGAGTGCCGAGCTCGAAGCGCAGCTAGTTGTTCTTGATATTGAGCATTGATTGTGTTTATTCTCTGAAACACATACAAATGTTATATATAAGATAGAGGACAATAAATTTTGAAGAACGGTTTGAATTACCAAGAAACATGGATGACGTCAGTTTAAACAGCATGACAAGACAAAATAATGCAAAAGATACCCATTAAAATCATGATTAATCAAAAACCAATATGAAAACAATCTCTCTTTTTTTTATAGGCAACGACAAAAGGAAAAATATCATTAAAAGGGCCACAAGAGATTCCCAGCCGTTAGCTTGAACCCCATGTTTGCCCTCAATAGTGGAACGCCAAAGTCACTCTCGCTCAACAGAAAATCTCTAGAACCACTCACCAAGAAGAGCAACAATGGTCATTGCTAGAATGTAGGAGCCACCCCCCCTTAGTTCGTGGTAGAGAGACTGTCTCCCAGTAAACCAAATGAATCCTTTTCCCTTCACCTAAACCTTCCACAAAAAGCCCCTAATCATGTTTTCAATTTTGTTTGCAACCCCTACCTGAATCTTGAAAAATGATATATTGGGGTATTGCACACCATCTCTCCCAAGAAATAAGGGGGGAGGGGGGGGAGTGGGTGGCCGTAGAAAATATTGTAGCAAGGAATGTTGCTCTTCTTGATGAGTGGTAACGAAGATTTTCTATTGAGCAAGAATCACTTTGGCATTACAAATCCAAGATCCAAGATAGACAGCAACAACCCAAACAAGTCACTCGAAACTCTGCCCTTTGCTTTGCCCCGTGTTGTCTTCCTCCGGTTGCCCCCACCCAACAGGCCAAAAAACTATTATGCTATGGCCAAATTGTTGCCTTTGAACATTCTTTTAGAAAATAAATTATTATACAAAATAGAGAAATGGGAATCACACAAGTTTTTTTTATTGTGCAAGAGCCTGATATAGATTGTTCTATAAAAGAAAAAAAAAAAAAGAAGAAGATTTTTCGAAATATCTGAGTTCAATTATTCATAAATAAAGCATAAAGTATGCAGAAAGTAAAGGAAAAAACTACATGAAAAAAAAGAGTAAGCTTTTTAGCTTATAATCTAACCTCCCTATGCCTTGCATTTTCTGCATCCTCTGCATCAGTTTGTTCCTTTGATAATTTCATGATGTCATCAAGGAATCTCTGCTCGAGACCTTCAAAAGTCCGTGACGAGGGATTATCTTCAAATCCAATGTCCATATCCTCTTCACGAGGCTGCGATCTAGGATCATTGTTCCCTTGTCTCTCTAAAGCCATTTTGGAATCTTGCCTCTGGCCTTGGAAATAGGATCTAGATGTATCACCCCCTTGACCTGTAACACAAGAACAATATCCAGCACATGAAGTCCACAATCAGAATCTTGACAAATTGAATTAAACCAGTTTTAGTAATTCAACATAATTTACTCATTAAATACTATGAAGCACGGGTACTGGTACGATATGGGTATGTCGATACGGTAAAATTCAAAAAAAATAAGGTACAGGTACGACTTGATACGCTTGTAAAAAAATATTTATTTTTAATTTAGAGTAATGCAAAAATTAATTAAATGATTTAATTTATTAAGATCCAACCTATAATTAACATTTAATGTCAAAAGTAAAGGTATAAATCAAAATTAAATGTCAATATATTAAATAACTTACAACCCATAGTTTAATTTTAAAATCATGCTAAGTATAAAACTAAAAATAAAAAAGAAATCTAGTGAAAAGAGTTTTGTCTCTGTAATAGAAAAAAATATTGTTTCAACTGAGATACGGTACCGCTTGGTGTATACTAGGTACGTCTGGGTATGTCAAAAATTAAAAAGAAAAAGTTTGGGTACATGTTTCGTGTACCCGGTATGTATGCAGAAGTACCATACGAGGTACTATATGCCGGTAAGTACCCGGTACGAATATGGCATGTTTTTTGAAATACCCATGCTTCATAGATTAAATAAACACTTTCATGTAAATCCACAACCATGAGACTTTAAATTAGCATGCCAAAAAGCATTTTCCGAATCAATTGCCTTAATTGAGTACATAAATGAATCAGACACATAGATGCATAACCTGACACCTCACACCCGTACTTGAGTCCATGTAAAATAGGCTAAAATAACCTACTTCCAATCAGCCAGAGAGGAACCTACTGCTGCTGGTTTGCATTGGTCATCCAAGGCTGGACTATAAAATCTTGCATCCATATATGAATTTTATAATTGACAGCTATATGGAACTAGCTTAAGAATACACCTTACTCTACTTCAACAAATAACCAGTTTTTCTCTAATATTTTGACAGAGGAAAAATACTATTTACTTTGAACACGTGACTGAAAACATCTTCTTATCTAATAGCTAGTATGATGGTGAGAAAATTACACAGAGCTTTAGCTTCATAACAGGTATACCAAAAATACAAAGCTTGACATACTAGTAAAATTAACAGTATCTAATGCCCAATGATGACCAAAAGGGGAGGATAGGATGAGTACTAATGGACATATGATGCACCCATAATTCTAAATGTTTAGAGTAAGGACGCACATTTTCAACTTCAGTTTTTTGCAAGGCCTTTAGACTAGCTCAAATGCTGATTAAATAGGGTTTTATTTTCACAAGGGGAGGGCCACAACACGTGTCGAAGGAGTGTCAAAGGAGGGTCATATGAAATAGCATTACTTGCCTTCATTGAACATTTGGGGTGACATCGAGTTTGGTACTTTGGATCCATCCCTTTCCCATCTCCATTGTCCATCTGCTTTTGAAGCTCCATATGGATGCTCCTTATCAGAGGTCAATGGCTCTGACCGTCCTTGGTAATGACCAGATTTTTGTTCCATCCTCTGACCAGACATGTGCTGCATCTGAGCAGTGACATATGCATTGCCACCTGAATCACCATAGTGCCCCGGCCGTCTCATCTCTACAACCTAACTAAACAGCTTGAACACCAGACCTGAAAAAACATAACAGAACTCTAATGAAAATATGATTCCATAATAACATGAAAGAAAGTGAGCAAACCCATGCCATAATAACATAACAATATTATATATAAAAGAAGAAAAATAATTAAACTATGATTGAAATAATAATCTGAGTGTAATAGCCTAAGAAGTACGCATATCACAAAATTTGTAACGAATGAGATTCCATACAAGGATAACCTTCACAAAACAATTCATAAGTACGAATTAAGACCTATGTCACATGGGCTTTTCAAAATAAATTAAATACCCATGTCAGACACCCGAACATTGAGACAATGGTGTGGAATGTGTCTGATGCTTTACCACAGACACTTCTTATATATTTGTATTTCACACTATCATTATATGTATATATTGTCATATAATTGCTATAAAATGAGTCAAATATCTTTTTAACACTGTATTCTACATATAATACTATTTCATCTCACGTAATAGATTAAAAGTATGACCATATTTTGCCAAATCCACATGCCCTTAAATTTGAGGTTTAACGGGTCAAACCTCTAGACTATGAAGCACAGGTACGGGTACGAGTACTGGTACTAGTACGATACGGGTACGTCGATACGGTAAATTCAAAAAAAATAGGGTACAGGTACGACTTGGTACGCTTGTAAAAAAATATTTATTTTTAATTTAGAATAATGCAAAAATTAATTAAATGGTTTAGTTTGTTAAGGTCCAACCTATAATTAACATTTAATGCCAAAAGGAAAAATATAAATTAAAATTAAATATCAATATATTAAATAACTTACAAACCATAGTTTAATTTTAAAATCTTGCTAAGCATAAAACAAAAACTAAAAAAAAAATCTAGTGAAATGAGTTTTATCTCTGTAGTAGAAGGAAAATATTGTTTCAACTGAGGTACGGTACGATACGGTACGGTACGGTACAACTTGGATATATCCTAGGTACTTCTGGGTACGTCAAAAATTAAGAAAAAAAACTTGGATACGTGTTTCGTGTACCTGGTACGTATGCAGAAGTACCATACAAGGTACGGTACGCCGGTAAGTACCCGGTACAGGTACGGTATATTTTTCGAAGGACCCATGCTTCATAGCCTCTAGATATCTACGCATACCCAAGTCCATGTAACATAACATAAGACACGTAAAAAAAACACCAAGGTTAAGCATTCCAAATATAAAACATTCGTTTCATAATGGATACCGACATACTGTCATTATTTACCTGAAGATGTTGAAAGAAAAACTTTTTCTCTCAGAAAAGATAAATGCTTTGAGATTTAAGGAAACCTTTTTTTCTTGTCAAACTTAAATACACATCTAATTTTTCAAAGTTTCAAGATAACATCCAAATTTCAACAATTTCACAACACTAACAGATCCCATTCATAAAATTGTTCCATCCAAAATATTTGTTCCCCCAATGCCTAAATTCTTCAGAGCTTATGCCCCACAATTTTGAACCGAGTACCCATGACTGAACAGCAGATTTAGAATACATACATATATAATCGAAATATATCAATTAAATCACTCATCAGAATAACACAACAACAACCCAATTCACACAAATAAAATAAAATAAAAAACCTAGGATGAAAAGCAAGTTTACCTAATACACAAAACACTCCAAATTCAGACACTAGAGAACTACAATATACGATGAAGGCAAGTTTACCCGATAATAAACAGGTAAAATTGGTGGAACAAAGAACAAATGAATAAATAATTTGTTTAAATTACGTACAATTGATAGATAAGATACAAAAAGTGCTTTTTTGTACCTTCGAATTGCTGTAATGAGTTTTGAGAGATGGGAAGATGAGGTCGGCGAACCCTGAGGATATTTTCCTTTTCTGGTGTGGCGAGGGTTGGGTCTGCGTTCGGTTTGGCTCGTCGACACTATACAAGTCCTTGAACGGGTCTATTTAAACCCGATTCGGACTATCCAATTACCCGTGTCTATGATATCCAATTTTTGGGTAGGAAAAAATTAGACTGTGTTTGGTGCAGCATTCTAATTATAATTCTACCCTTTCACTTGAAATCTCTAAGTTTGATGGGGTGTTTAAAAATTAATTCTATCACACATTTTAAAATACACTTCTCTTTCATATTGATAGAGCTCCTTCCAAACAAAACTCTCACATTTTCATGCATATCCTTTCTTTCATACATGTTTAGTAAAGTTGAATTTTTGGTCTACCCAGTTGTTCACCTAGACATCCCGATGTTGGTCGATTGACTAAAACAGTAATTTTCATTTTTATTTTTTTTTTTGCAATTGACAATCGCCACCTGTTATTTAGGGCAAAAATTATATTTGTTTTTGATATTTTTTAAATATAGAGACGAAAATGACAAATTATTATTTTTAATTGAATTTTAAAAATAGTTTGGTTATGAGTTTTAAATAGAATTTTCAATAAAGTTTTGAATTGTGTGTTTAGTTATGAGTTATATGTTTTTCAATTAAGGGATTATTTGGTTTTCATTTTAGGCTAAATAATCACAAAATGACAAAAAAAAGTCAAAAAATCACAAAAGAACAAAAAAAATCCATTACTCCAAAGCTAAAAAACTAAAAAAGCCAATCAAGAACACCAAACGAACAAAAAAGTCTCAGACAAAAAAAATCAAAAAAATCAAAAGTCAACTAAAAAAGTCAATGCCAAACGAAGGCTACGTATTAAAAACTCTTTTTAAAACTCATAACCAAACAAATTTTCTTTTTTCATATGTCATATCAAAAATTCAAAACTTATAATCAAATAAATTTCTCTTTTCAAATCATAATTCCAAAACTCATAAACTCAAAATACAATCCTATTCTCAAATCATAATTTTAAAATTTTACCAAACACTACCTTAATCACCTGGTCTGAATCTCTTTTTTGAAGAATTTTTTTGTTTTTATTGAATTTTTTAAATGTTTTTTAAAAAATAGTTTTAGATGCACCCAAGCTTTGATTGTCTACCCCGGGTCAACTAGTATAAATATACTTAAAAAGTACAGCATATGTGATTTTTTTTTAAATTTACTAAATATTAAAAATATAAAAATTGATATATTTTCATATTATTGTGTATTTATTGATTTTTTAATTTTTTTATAAATATTTTATTATTTACGTACATTTAGGTTAGGTGTATCTAAAAAATAAAAAATCTACTTAAAATATTTTTAAAAATCACTAAAAAGCAAAAAAGTTACAAAAAAAAAATTAAAAAAACTCAATTAAAAAAAAATTGAGTTTAAAAATTAGAACAAACAAGGTAATATTAACAAAATGGTCACATGGCGGGTTTTGAGAAGGTTTGTAGTCCCACCTATGTCCTGTATGGTAATAGAGAAGGGGGAACGGGATAGGTTAATTTTGTAACGTGAAAAATTAAAAATTTAGTTATACGGGAAAGAAATAAACATTCTCGTATAATCCTATTGATCAAGTCCGCGTTCTTCCAAACGTCGTCGCTTTTCTCTCTGAAAACACAAACGTGAGCTAGTCGGCGGGTGTGTGCCGGAAACCCCTCCGATGCCTAAGTCAGTAAAATAGACAGGTAGACAAAAAACTCTGTGTATTCAAGAATCAAAGTTGCGTTACCTCTCCATATGTGATGATGTGAGCTTTTATAGGTTCCATGTGGCACAATCCAAGTAGGACTCTTACTCCTCCATGTAGAGTCCTCTTAGGATTCACAATCCTGAAAGATAATGCTTATCCTTCAACACCCCCCTCACTGCTTAAACCAAGTGAGACGGTTTTACCTCGGCAAGATGACCATACAACCGAGATAACTGTCAGATCGGCTCTTTACTTCCTCACTTCTACCTCGACTTTGCATGCCAAGACCGAGCTATTTGTAGAAGAGTTGGACCGAACTAACCAAGAACAAAAGTCCCGAAGAAGGCTCCGTATATCTCGGCTAAAGATTACGACCGGGCCAACCAATTTGACCGTGGCGACCGAGATAACAACAAGGCCTTCTTGGACCGAGCTAATGAAAAAAGCCATTTTACTCCGCATTTCTTACTTCGGCCCAAAGCGGCCCATTACCCAATCTCGGCCCAATTTATTCATATAAATTACCATCTCAATTGCCCCTTAATTCCATCTGCGCAGCATGATGGGATTACCTTATCTTCTAGCCGAGCTAAAAAAATTTAATCTTACTACCGAGCTAAGCCTTTAAGCTTTTCCAGCCGAACTAAAAACTCTTTTAGCCTTTCCAGCCGAGCTAGGCTCACACCGGGCTGTACCTGTCCGGTCCAAACGTCTCTTCAATCACAGCAACTGAATCGCCTCTTATCTCAAGGACACGTGGCATACTCTCATTGGCTGAAGGTAGCTGTCACGCTGTCATCGTACCTCGTGTTTTTTGAACAGTCCCGCCCAAATTTTGGGCCTCTCATCAAAACAAACTCTTTTTGTTTCTCTTTTTGAATCACTCACAGCACTATTCATCTCCTTCTCTCTCTTCGAGCCTCCATTGTCCTGCAACTAAGGAAGCTTCGTGGTTTTGCTGCCATTGCTCCCATCTTTAGTTTCCTTCCTTTACTCTGGTAAGTGACTTGATGCTTCCTTTCTGTTAATTTGATCCTGTTACGTAGCTCTTATTTTGTGTGTTTTTGCAAAACATTTTATACTCCCATTTTCTGCCTTGTCTTGCATCTTCTGCGAAAACTTAGTAATAGAACCCTTCTGATTTAAGAAATAACTTGAAAAACACTAGTTTTGATCCAAAATCACAATATAACCGAACTAAAAAATAGTTTTGTAGCTGTTGTTACTCTTGTCAGGCTATTCAACCGAACTAACACTTCACGTAATAACAATAGTCTCAACAAGTCAAACCTTTTGTTCTTTACTCAGCCGAGCTAGCAATCCGCACTAAGTTTGCGTAATAGTGCGTCTGTTAGCCTCAACCTCGGCCGAGCTATAACTTGGGGCTAACCCAACCTTTGTAGTTTAATCCGAAGTAAGAGCTTTGCCTCTAAAGGTTCAACCGAGCGAACACTAACTTCTGCACAAAACGAAATAACAAAACCCTTTGCACAAACCAAGATATCAAATTCTTTCCTCAAACCGAGCTAGGATTTGCTTATCTTGCCCCTTTTTGTTCTTTTAGCACGGTCCCACGAGCTGTGCTTGACCCTTCTGTTTTCACTTTGCAGACTTTAGTTTGCCCAGGCACTCTTTTGAGCGCTCAACCGAACTACTCAGCACCCTTCTCCGACCGAGCTAACACAAGCTTAACTTATTCGTAATTTAAAAGAGAATGGGTAAATATAGGTTCTTAGTAGACACACCTGGGGGTTTAGCCGAATTCCGAAAGGATTATAATATCCCTGATGATGTTCACCTAACTTTGGCCGAACAAGATGTCATACCTTGGGGAAACCCTGGTTTTGTTCCCTTCACCCTCCTATCCATTGTAGAAATCGGCCTAAGATTTCCTGTTCAACCCTTACTTTGCGAATTCCTTAGGCAAACTAGGATATGCCCAACTCAGCTTTCCACAAACTCATACCGCATAATAAACGGTATAGCCGAGCTAAACCGCCGAGCTGGCATTAACCTCGGCTTAGCCGAACTCTTCCATCAATATTCAATAGGTTCAAAAGAAGATGGCTGGGTCTATTATCTAAGAATACGCCGTCGTCGAGAGAAAATAATAACGGACACACCAGATAAAGACTTGAACGACGATGATTTCTTCTGGGTTTCTGGGAACTTCGAAGATCAAGAAGCCCAGATTCCTGGTGACCGAATAAACTGGAATAAAGGGACCCCCGGTATAATTACATCAGTTTCTTTGCATGCTTCTGTTTTGTTTTGGTATTCTTATTCCTTAACCGAACTGACAGCTGTCTTCTTTATGCAGATTTAGCCCACCTCAAATCACTGTACAGTTACCCCAACCTAAACACACTTCGCGCCGCACTTCGGTATTCCGAAAGAAGTTGGGCCAAGCTACTGAATTTTAAGCCGACATACAGATACAGCGGGCGACATAAAGCCAGAGTAACAGACTTCTTACTGGAAGCCTCTCCCAAACCGGACCCCAACTTGCCACAAATTAACCTGGTTCGCACTACCGAAGAAGAAGAGATGGCGAAGCGGAATAGAGTGAAGGCCCTCTTAACCGAAACCAACCGAGCCGAAGTACCACCATCCAACTAGACTCAGGAAACAGTGGTGGCCCTTCCATCTCAACAACCTTTTTCATCACGCCCAAGCAAACGCGCCCGGACTACCCAAACCGAGCAACGCCTTGTCGATGAAGACGAAACCACGCTTCCATTGAGCCCTCTCAATCGAAACCAACCGGAGGGCTCTGACCGGGCTAGCTCCTCCAAGTGGGCACCCAAACTTACATTTCAAAACCGAGATATACAAGACACGGACTCAGTGGTCACTGAGAAAGATCACTTAATGGCGTTTAACCTTGCCAAGAGTGTCTGCCTTCCAGCAGACATGGAACATCACAAAAATTTGTCCAAGTTAAAGGCCATCCGCTCAGCCACCAAATCCATGGTGCTTGTAAGTATCATCTTCTGTTAATCTTTTTAATTTGCACAACTTTTACCTCGGTTTGATTACAAGTCTTTCCTTCTTGTGCAGGCTATGCAGAAGAGCCACATCGCCTATAAGCGTGTGCTGGAACTTCGCAAGACTGCAAGGCAAGCCATGGCCGAGGTGACTGAAAAGACTGCCGAACTAGCAGAAGCTAGGAAGCAAATAGCCGAGCTAAATTTCGAGAACGGTTGTCTGGCCGGACTTGTTAGCTCGGCTGAAGCCGAAAAACAAAAAGCTGCAGCCGTGATGAAAGACAAATATCTACGTGAATTAGCCAAGCTCGAAGGTAAGAAAAACACAGAGATTGCCGAGCTAAAGAAAAAGGCGGCTGATGCTAATGCTGAAGGTTTCAAGGAGA